AACGCCTCGACAGCAGAGGAAATTAACATTTTCAGTCCACTAGTCCTTACAATGATAACATATAGCAAAGCCCTTAAACATGGCAAATTTCTTCTAGTCCTTATGATACCTTAACTATTGGGCAGTTTGGCCAGGACTACAGGATTAGTGCCAATTTCCAACGCTGCCTCGATATGATGCAATGATACAACTGGATGATATGACTGGAAGATATGACTGCATGATACGAATCGATTATACAATTTGATGATACAACTCGTACACCTCACATCTCAAGATAATCTGTATATTTGGGTACCATACACACACAATAAATCTCCATAACCCAATTAGTATTGAGATGCTGGCGTAGAAATATGCATTAAAAACTTAATATCCCAGTAGTGTAACAGCACCGTGCACAATTAACCAACGCCGCCTTTACCGCTGGCGTACCTGTATGTCTTTACAGATCCTTGTTTACTGATTGAAGCCAGGCATCTTGTATAACTCTTTATAACTCTTGTATAACTCCAAGGCAGTGAATAATGCAAAGAAGTACTACATCTCGTGAATTGTAACTTCAACATATATCACTGTTGTGAACTTGGGGTACTGTCAAAGCTTCACAAACAATGGAACCTAAGTTACAAGAATTTAAAAGCTGCTGAATCGGCATTAAGTTTCAATTCATGCAGGTTTTTTTCAATTTTTTTATTTTGCATAAGCATGGGTTGCTGAAGACCTATTCTACACCCCATCTTCGCGGGTCTACAGACGTACTAAAGTGGTTGTCATGGTACTGAAGTGGTTGTCATGGTACTGAAGCGGTTGTCACACCTCGACTGACCATCACAGTCATATATCACACATTCACTGACCATCACAGTCATATATCACACATTCACTGACCATCAGTCATATATCACACCTTGACTGACCATCACAGTCATATATCACACATTCACTGACCATCACAGTCATATATCACACATTCACTGACCATCAGTCATATATCACACCTTGACTGACCATCACAGTCATATATCACACATTCACTGACCATCACAGTCATATATCACACCTCGACTGACCATCACAGTCATATATCACACATTCACTGACCATCACAGTCATATATCACACATTCACTGACCATCACAGTCATATATCACACCTCAACTGACCATCACAGTCATATATCACACATTCACTGACCATCACAGTCATATATCACACCTCGACTGACCATCACAGTCATATATCACACATTCACTGACCATCACAGTCATATATCACACATTCACTGACCATCACAGTCATATATCACACATTCACTGACCATCAGTCATATATCACACCTTGACTGACTATCACAGTCATATATCACACATTCACTGACCATCACAGTCATATATCACACCTCAACTGACCATCACAGTCATATATCACACCTCGACTGACCATCACAGTCATATATCACACATTCACTGACCATCGAAGTCATATATCACACCTCGACTGACCATCACAGCCATATATCACACATTCACTGACCATCACAGTCATATATCACACATTCATTGACCATCACAGTCATATATCACACATTCACTGACCATCAGTCATATATCACACCTTGACTGACTATCACAGTCATATATCACACATTCACTGACCATCACAGTCATATATCACACCTCAACTGACCATCACAGTCATATATCACACCTCGACTGACCATCACAGTCATATATCACACATTCACTGACCATCGAAGTCATATATCACACCTCGACTGACCATCACAGCCATATATCACACATTCACTGACCATCACAGTCATATATCACACATTCATTGACCATCACAGTCATATATCACACATTCACTGACCATCAGTCATATATCACACCTTGACTGACCATCACAGTCATATATCACACATTCACTGACCATCACAGTCATATATCACACCTCAACTGACCATCACAGTCATATATCACACATTCACTGACCATCACAGTCATATATCACACATTCACTGACCATCACAGTCATATATCACACCTCAACTGACCATCACAGTCATATGTCACACATTCACTGACCATCACAGTCATATATCACACATTCACTGACCATCACAGTCATATATCACACCTGGCATGGTCAGTAAGGGATGGGTGTGTATGGCATGGTCATTAAGGGGTGGGTGTGTATGGCATGGTCATTAAGGGGTCGGTGTGTATGGCATGGTCAGTAAGGGGTGAGTGTGTATGGCATGGTCAGTAAGGTGTTGGTGTGTATGGCATGGTCAGTAAGGGGTGGGGTGGGTGTGTATGGCATGGTCAGTAAGGGGTGGGTGTGTATGGCATGGTCAGTAAGGGATGGGTGTGTATGGCATGGTCAGTAAGGTGTGGGTGTGTATGGCATGGTCAGTAAGGGGTGGGTGTGTATGGCATGGTCAGTAAGGGGCGGGTGTGTATGGCATGGTCAGTAAGGGGTGGGTGTGTATGGCATGGTCAGTAAGGGGTGGGTGTGTATGGCGTAGTCAGGGTGGGGTGGGTGTGTATGGCATGGTCAGTAAGGGGTGGGTGTGTATGGCATGGTCAGTAAGGGGTGGGTGTGTGTGGCATGGTCAGTAAGGGGTGGGTGTGTATGGCGTAGTCAGGGTGGGGTGGGTGTGTATGGCATGGTCAGTAAGGGGTGGGTGTGTATGGCATGGTCAGTAAGGGGTGGGTGTGTATGGCATGGTCAGTAAGGGGTGGGTGTGTATGGCATGGTCAGTAAGGGGTGGGTGTGTGTGGCATGGTCAGTAAGGGGTGGGTGTGTATGGCGTAGTCAGGGTGGGGTGGGTGTGTATGGCATGGTCAGTAAGGGGTGGGTGTGTATGGCATGGTCAGTAAGGGGTGGGTGTGTATGGCATGGTCAGTAAGGGGTGGGTGTGTATGGCATGGTCAGTAAGGGGTGGGTGTGTATGGCGTAGTCAGGGTGGGGTGGGTATGTATGGTGTGGTAAGGGGTTTGGTGGGTGTGTATGGCATGGTTGGGGGTTGGGTGGGCGTGTATGGCATGGTCAGGGCGGAGTTGGTGTGTATGGCATGGTTGGGGGTTGGATGGGTGTGTATGACATGGTCGGGGGTTGGGGTGGGTGTGTATGGCATGGTTGGGGTTGGGGTGGGTGTGTATGGCATGGTTGGGGTTGGGGTGGGTGTGTATGGCATGGTTGGGGGTTGGGTGGGTGTGTATGGCATGGTTGGGGTTTGGGTGGGTGTGTATGGCATGGTTGGGGTTGGGGTGGGTGTGTATGGCATGGTTGGGGTTGGGGTGGGCGTGTATGGCATGGTCGGGGGTTGGGGTGGGTGTGTATGGCATGGTTGGGGTTGGGGTGGGTGTGTATGGCATGGTCGGGGGTTGGGGTGGGTGTGTATGGCATGGTTGGGGTTGGGGTGGGCGTGTATGGCATGGTTGGGGGTTGGGGTGGGTGTGTATGGCATGGTTGGGGGTTGGGGTGGGTGTGTATGGCATGGTTGGGGGTTGGGTGGGTGTGTATGGCATGGTTGGGGGTTGGGGTGGGTGTGTATGGCATGGTTGGGGGTTGGGGTGGGTGTGTATGGCATGGTTGGGGGTTGGGGTGGGTGTGTATGGCATGGTAGGGGTTGGGTGGGTGTGTATGGCATGGTCGGGGGTTGGGGTGGGCGTGTATGGCATGGTCAGGGCGGAGTTGGTGTGTATGGCATGGTCGGGGGTTGGGTGGTGTGTATGGCATGGTCGGGGGTTGGGTGGGCGTGTATGGTGTTCTCGGTGTGGGGTGGTAGAGCAAATGTCTTTGTTGTCTTGACTCCATCAATGATAATAGCAGTTATGGCATATCTCTCCGTGACCAAGACTCCCTCAGGACAATCCTGCTTGTCCACACTTTGTCTTTCTCATAAACAGCCAGAAATACATTTTAAGGATGTATATTTATAGCAAATTACCTGTATTGCAGGAAGCATGTCACAGTCTGTGTTGACAATAATAACAGTGGTAGATTTATCGGCTGATCAGAGAAGACATAACGGCAGGTTCTGCCGGATACATTGACAAGTCTTATTGGAAAATCTGACAGAAAATGTGTAAATCAAAACCATAATGTTTCCTAATTTCTCTTCCAGTTTAAACATCACAGATAAAACAACTGACTTCTATAGGGAATAATAACACCTATGATCCTATGATCAAGTCATACCTGCAATCAAGTCACATCATGATCAAGTCACACCTGTGATCAAGTCACACCTGTAATAAAGTCACATCTATGATCAAGTCACACCTGTAATCAAGTCAGATCTATGATCAAGTCACACCTGTAATAAAGTCAGATCTATGATCACGACACATATGGGATCAAGTCATACCTTTGATAAAGTCACATCTATAATGAAGTCACATCATGATCAAGTCACATCTATGATCAATTCACACCTGTAATCAAGTCAGATCTATGATCACGACACACATGGCATCAAGGCATACCTTTGCTAAAGTCACATTTATGATCATGTCACACCTATAATAATATCACATCCATAATCAAGTCACATCATGATCAAGTCACATCTATGATCACGTCACACCTGTAATAAAGTCACATCTATGATCAGGTCATACCTATGATCACATCACATCTATGATCACGTCATACCTATGATCACGTCACACCTATAATAAAGTCACACCTAGGATCATGTCACACCTACGATCAAAATTGAAATCAACTCCCCCCACAGTACGTGTGTACTAAACAGTTTGAGAGTACTTAAGCCCCCTGCTGAGAGTCGAGAGCTACATTTGTCTTCAATATCAGAGGCACACAAGTGTGTCTGTCTGAATCCTACAAACAATCTGACAACATGCCAAATTTGTCACCGCTTCAAAGTCAACAAGCCCCACAACATTCCCCGATATCCCATCAAAATGTCAGTCCCCTCCAGCTGAGAACCCCCCCACCCCCCTCCCAGTTAGAGTGTCACCTACCTTGGTTTCCACAACTAAATCCACGACAGTAAAATCCAAGGTAAAATCCACAGGCACAGTAATACTCCACTAACCATGCTGCATGACAGCGTCGTGAAATGGACCCTTCTGCAACACAATCTCCCAGCTGATTACGAGCACCTTTGAAGTGAGCAAGGCTGACGGACATGCAGTGACAGCATGCTCCTGATGTGTGGCTTGCTTGGACGGCTTGTGCTCAAACGAGACCTTGGCAAACACATCTATGCTTGACAATTGCTAAACTCAGAGTCGTGCTATAACAGTGTTATTTTCCCAGTGTGAGAGTCATTGTTGTTGTACGTGTCTACTAAACCGGACATGATGATGATGATGATGATGATGATGATGGAGACTTAAGTAGCTGTAGATTGAACCAGGAAGGCGTCCAGCGTCAGGGATATGATGCAATATGTCCACAATTACATACTGACGGGAATATTCACGTCATACTCGTCTTTGTCGGCGTTTTTAACATTGTGTTGGGATTTAAACATTTCTCATTACAATTTCAAAAACATTTACTGTATATTTTTTTAAGCATTGTAGCCTGGAGCCATTAATTCAAAGAAATAAATACACAAGTCATGTTATCACAACAGGATGCAAAATCAAGTTGTCCTGTTAAATTTACGGCAGCTGTTGCAACCATAGAAAGCTGGTGACACAAGTAAACAAACATCGCTCATTGCTGTGTGTAATCTGTTGTCACTAATACACCATGTACAAGAAAAAAAAAATGTATTGAAAACAAATGTACCATACACATTGATTGGCGACTAAATGTCACTAATTTACAACCTCGTCTGTTTATCGCTATTCAATGACATTCCAGTGTGGCTGGAATGAGGTTTTTTCTGTTTTTTACTACAGCAAATGACAGAAAGCACTTGGCTATGTAACCTCATTTGATATTTATAATGGCTGTGTTTAGGACTGGGGAGCCAAACCCTGCAGGGAGCTTCAGTTGAAGGAGACAAATGATACGCTCATTCCAGACTAAATTAAAGTCGATGAAAACTTTTATTACAGAATACTTTTCTCTCCTCTAAAATTAAAAGAATTAATTTTCCTGATGCTGGCTATAGCAGGCTAGACTTGATTATATATAAAACTAGGTTTTGTTTTCATAAAATACATATTTTCCACAGCCCTGGTGGAGGACTAGATTCATTCAATCGGAATGGAGGGGTGGTCGGGTAGCCTAGTGGTTAAAGCGTTCGCTCGTCACGCCGAAGACCCAGGTTCGATTCCCGACATGGGTACAATGTGTGAAGCCCATTTCTGGTGTCCCCCGCCGTGATATTGCTGGAATATTGCTAAAAGCGGCGTAAAACCATACTCACTCACTCATTCGGAATGGAAAGCCTACCATACTACCTCATAACAACTTATCATTGGCCTGGGTCGGGGGTATAGTGGTTAAAGCGTTTGCTCGTCACGCCGAAGACCTGGGTTTGATTCCCGACATGGGTACAATGTGTGAGGCTCATTTCTGATGTCCCCTGCCATGATATTGCTGGAATATTGCTAAAAGCGGCGTAAAACCAAGCGTATCACCAAACAAACATATATTATTATTAAGCCTTATACAGTCTAACATACATAGGTATCATATACCGTAAACTACGATAATAATGAACACGCTTATATTAAGTTATAACAAACTGACCGATATAACAAATGTATTTTTAGTCTCGTCCATTTGTTGTATATATGCTTAAAACAAACTAAGGTTACAGTGGTAGAAATTGGCACTAGTCCTATAGCCCTTGTCAAATTGCCCAATAGTTAAGGAATCATAAGGACGAGGACAAATTTGTCCTTTTTAAGGGTTTTGCTATATTTTATCATTATAAGGACTTGTGTACTAAAAATGTTAGTTTCTACCGCTCAGCTGGGTTATTACAAACTAAAGTTAGTGGTCCCTTTGAGTTTGTTCGAAATACCTGCCTGCCCGACCGTCCGAGACGGGTTGATTTCAACTCGGGCTGCCAGATTTTCAAATCCCCCTGCCCGACGGTCAGGTTATATTTCATATGTGAAAATATTCTAAATAATTCCCAATGATAAGCATTAATTCACATGTAAAGATGAATGATAAAATGTAACCAAAAAGAAACCCTGTTAGCTTATCCTGAGAAACATATGATTATAGTGGGCAGGCAGGTTTTGTTCAGGGCTGGCAAGTATTTCAGCTAGCCAGTCCTGTGGTCTGGCTGAAATTTTGGGGAGTTTCATACCCTGATATAACCATAGTTTACGGTACATGTATGTCCCTATAAACAAACATATATTTTATATAAGTAACACCTTACAAACAGACGCATACTTGTTGAACTCAATTTCAAACTTTTTTTTTATATGCAAGATAGGTAATATTTTAAGTTTGCCGTGAGTGTCATCAGAAACATGTTCAATAACACACCAACCACGGGCTGCAGTCAGACAGCAAGCATTCACAGCATCCCACTTTCTCATCAATGTTATTGATGTTTCAGAATAATTATCTGCGTCTTAAAAGTAAGAATTATTACCTCATTAGTTTTTTCCTGTCAATAATGCAAGATTTATTCAGCCCCCAGAATTTCATCTTTCTAATTCTGCACCATTAACATGTTGAATTCACTGCAGAAACTATCAGACTCGCTTAGATACAGAGGAAGTGTCCATGTGCATCTCACAAACAATGCTGTATATGCAGGGATTGACTTAGGCCGCGACTCCGCGATATTCTCGCATAGTTGTCATAGATATCGCATCAACATTCAATCAGCACGATCGTGTACATCTTTCAATAGCTTTAGCCGCCCCCGTGGTCTAGTGGTAGAGCGTCCACCTGGAGAGGCGAAGATCCGGGGTTCGATCCCCGGCCGCGTCATACCAAAAGACATTAAAAGATGGTACTTGTTGTTACCCTGTCTGGCGCTCGGCATTAAAGGGCTAAAACAAGGACTGGTCGGCTCGGAGTCAGTATACTGTGTCTGAGTAGGGTATTCATGTTAAACTGCGGCATGGTATCTCAGTGTGCTAGCACTATAAATCGGCATCAGTCCGGACTAGTACAAGCAGCCACACACACACGTGTATGCACGTCGCTATATAAGTGCAATAATCTTGGACGCAATGTTAAACCCAATTTCACCTCACCTCACCTCACCTCACCTCACCTCACCTCACCTCAATAGTTTTATCTAAAAAATGTCGCATTGCTTGAATAAAATTATCTACCGTACCTAAAAATGTCAATAAAAATGCTATCTCTTACTATGCAAAACCGATTCCTAAATCACTGCATGGAGCTTTGCATCAGCTGACAATGGTGGAGTGCGCAACATTTTTTTATCACTGATTGGCAAAACAAGTGTTTGTTTTTACAATAAATACACTTTGGTAGCGTACAAAAATCTTATTACATGATCTACAACACCAAGTCATTAAAAGTATTTTTAAAGACTTAAATTCAAGTGTACCTTCATGCAAGAATGGTCACTGAGTGTGAATTACGAATTTTGAACTATTTCTAGTGGCCAAACAGCAAGTTTGATTTAGATTTTGTAGATTATACTACAATACATTTACTTCCAGAGTTGTCCATTAAACTTGAAAACTGTGAGTTAATCTTTCAAATGTTATTCATAAACATCGTGAATGGCAACAGTCTTTTCAACTTCCGGTGACATTTCTGTCTGCTGCACATGGAAAACATGCTGCCTTCTGTGGGAAATAAATGACTAAATTGTTGCTAATTAAACAAGCATGAAATACTCATATCCCCCGCCAATATGACATGTCTGGTTGTGTGCAATGCCATTAGCTCCTGTGACCTATGTTAACTGGGCCTTTTTGTAAATGGCCTAATTGCAGCACTAACAAGTCCAACTTGTTGCAATGCAAACGTAAAAAATAAAAATTTCTTAAATTCCTAAATAGCAAAAGGCAGTTCAGTATGTGTCTGGTAAACATGCATAGTTTTGTTAGAAAGTATTGAATGGGTTTTGAGTTATGCTCCAGAAACATTCACTACCCAATAGAACCTAAGTCCAACTTGTTGCCATGGAAACGTAAAAAATAAAATTTATAAAATTCCTAAATAGCAAAAGGCACCAGTTCAGTATGTGCCTAGAAGACATGCAAAGTTTTGTAAGAAAGTATTTAACGGTTTTGAGTTACGCACTGGAAAGGAACAGCACCCTTATAGAACCTAAGTCCAACTTGTTGCCATGGAAACGTGAAAAATAAAAATTTATAAAATTCCTAACTAGCAAAAGGCACCAGTTCAGCATGAATCTGATAGACATGCAAAGTTTCGTAGAGAAATATTTAATGGTTTCTGAGTTATGCTCCGGGCACACACACACACACACACACACACGGACGGAACCCATTTCTATATCCCCCCCCCCCCCCCCCCCGCAATAGTCGTCATATACTGGACTGTCACTTCTAATTAAATGAAAAGTCCCTGTTGATAAGATTTAAATTGATACGGTCAGAGACACAACACAGACAGGGAGGGGGGGAAGACAGCAAAATTGCCGAAATCACTGGAATGTAACTAATGTATACATGTATGTTTTGCCAACTGTCGCTATTTCATTTCATCATTTTGAATATATTAAGTTACGATCTAAACCACGAGAACTCGTTATTGGTCAGTAAAGAAAAATATATACCCCCTATATATGTAAGTTTGGGGTATATATTTTTATTTACTGACCATTAACGAGTTCCTGTGATCTAAACACACATTGTCGAAATATGATAACTGCAGATTGTTGTCTCCTGCATGCAATCGACATGAACAGCTGATGGTGGTAAACATGCCTCCTAAACGATCTATAATTGTCCTCGCGAATAACTCCCCATAAAGTTGACAATGAACAGAAATACATAAATATTAGTGTAATTTCTCCTAAAGTAGACAATCAACAGAAATATAAACTGTGTACTAATGTAATGTTTTATTAATACTAATGCTAATATTTTTATGTGCAGTGGAATAATTTATGTTAAAAAATAGGATATCCGAGGATATATCCATATAATCTTGTAATATCAATTGCAACAGTATTCGAGTCACAAGTACTGAAAATCAAACACAGTTTCCAGTGTGTGAGCCAAAATATCTCATTGCTTTTGGACCAGGGGAGATTTTCTTTCATAGGTAAAAACTTCCAGAATAATCCCTGTATATGGTTACCTAGAGCAACCAGTTGCAAAAATTTCTCTAAACCTTAAGGATAGAAACTTACAAAAGATAATTCTGTATCTCACAACAAACTTGCAAGATTTGAACGGAGCCCGAATCTTTTCAACCCAATCT